GTTGATGATGATGATGAAGTCGATGTTGATGTTGATGTTGGTGTTGATGATGATGACGTTGATTGTGAGATCGATTGTGAGATCGATAGTGAGATCGATAGTGAGACCGAATGAGAGATCGATTGTGAGATCGATAGTTAGATTGATTGTGAGATCGATCGTCAGATCGATTGTGAGATCGTTCGAATGAGACCGATAGTGAGATCCGGTGTCCCGCCGGTGTCCCGCCGGTGTCCCGATGATGACGGTGATGATGGTGATGATGGTGATGATGATGATTATGATGATGGTGGTGATGGTGATGATGGTGATGATGGTGATGACGATGATGATGATGATGATGGTGATGATGGTGATGATGTTGACGGTGATGATGGTGATGATGGTGATGATGGTGATGATGATAGTGATGATGGTGATAATGGTGATGATGGTGATGATGGTGATGATGGTGATGATGGTGATGATGGTGATGATGATGGTGGTGATGATGATGACGTTGATGATGATGATGATGTTGATGTTGATGCTGATGATGATGAGATCGATTGTGAGATCGATAGTGAGACCGAATGAGAGATCGATTGTGAGATCGATAGTGAGATCGATTGTGAGATCGATCGCCAGATCGACTGTGAGATCGGTCGGATGAGATCGATAGTAGATCAATAGTGAGACCGAATGTGAGATCCATGGTGAGATCGATCGTCAGATCGATTGTGAGATCGATCGAACGAGATCGATAGTGAGATCGATAGTGAGAACGATGGCGGTGCGTCGTCAGAACAACAATCACCACTGTTGCCCATTGCTGGGCCCCTCCCCCCCATACCTCCTTATCACCCGCAGGGTGGTCGTATAGGTACACATCTATATAGATATATACATGTCTCAGAGAGAGGGGGCCAGACAGTCATTCATTGTCCCTGGGTGCGTGACTTAAGTGCGCATCCGTGATGAGGATTATGATTGGTTCGTTGTTGTTGCTACTGCTGTTGTTGTTGGTTGTGGTGGTGTTGTTATTGTTGGTGTTGGTGTTGTTGTTGGTGTTGGTGTTGTTGATGTTGTTGTTGGTGTTGTTGTTGGTGGTGCTGTTGTGGTTGTGGTTGTTGTTGTTCGTGTTGGTGTTGGTGTTGTTGCTATTGGTGTTGTTGGTGTTGCTATTGTTGTTGTCATTGCTGTTGTTGTTTTTGTTGTTGTTGTTTGTTGTCGCCACCCCCCGCGACCCGGCCCGCGACCCCCCCGCGACCCACCCCGCGACCCACCCGCCACCCACCCCGCGACCCGCTCGCGACCCACCCGCGACCCACCCGCGGCCCACCCGCGACCCACCCGCGACCTGGCCCGCGACCCACCCGCGACCCACCTTCGACCCACCCACGACCCACTTGCGACCCAACCCGCGACCCACCTACATTGTTTTAACAAAAAACGGCGCCTGAGGCGGGCTCGTTGTATAGTTCGAAAAAGTTGCGCCTGCGGCGGGCTTCTTTAGAGCCTCGCAGACTGCAGACATCCGCGCCGCCCCCATCACTCTTATCCGCAACTGCGGGGTGCTACGTATAAGAAGGGGCATGTGCTTGTGGGCGAGACGAAAACGAACGGAAGCTGGTGGCACCAAGCCCCTCCCGCTCCCATGCTGGGCACCTCCACCTTCTCCTCCACATCCTTCAAGGAAGCCTCTGGAGGTCCCTGGAGGTCGCTCCTCATCCGCCTCCTCCTCCTCCTCCTCCTCCTCCTCCTCCTCCTCCTCCTCCTCCTCCTCCTCTTTCCCCTCCCCCACCTCCTTGAACTCTCCTCCTCCTCCTCCTCCTCCTCCTCCTCCCCCTCCTCCTCCTCCCCCTCCTCCTCCTCCTCCTCCTCCTCCTCCTCCTCCTCCTTCTCCTCCTCCTCCTCCGCCTCCTCTGGGGCCCCTTGAGGGCCTATTCGGACTTCCTGGGGGCCTCTTGGGAGCCTCACGGGGCTTCTTGGGAGCCTCTTGATGGCCTCCGGGGGCGTCCTAGGAGCCTGTCAGGCCGGAGACCCATCTGGGGTCGCTCTTGGGGCTCTCTTGGGGCGCTCTCGAGGCCCTCTTGAATTATCTAGGTAGCCTCCTAGGCCATCTCTGGGCTTTCTTGGGGGCCCCTTCGGCCGTCTTGAAGCGATTTGAAGGGCCTCTGACGCCGTCTGGGACCGTGGGGAGGCGGAACATGCGAGAGCGCAAATATGCTTCAAAAACCATCGGAAAACGTATGAGTTTCGGCTCCTGGGGCCCTTTGGAGGGACCTCTGGAGGCGCTATTGAGGCGTTTTGGCGGCGTCGTCGGCCCTCCTCAGGTCATCTTCGGCGTGTCTGGGGCCTCTTGGGGCTCTCTTTTCAATCTTTAGGGCCCTCTTGGCGTGTCGTGGCGTGTTTGGGAGCGAGCCCGGGCAGTCCCGGGAGCCCTGCGACCCCCCAATACCCCCATGGGGGGGCACGGCGCCGGCCTGCCCCCCCCCAGCATACTCCGAGAGAGAGAGAGAGAGAAAAAAAAAAGATATATGTGTATATATAATATGTGATATATAACGCATACATGCATACACATATACATACATGCATACACTACAATACAATACAATACAATACATTACATCACATTACATTACAACACATTACATTACATTACATTACAATACATTACATTACATTACGTTACATTACATTCCATTACATTACAGTACATTTCATTACATTGCATTACATTACATTACATTACATTACATTGCATTACATTACATTACATTACATTACATTACATTACATTACATTACATTACATCACACTACATTACATTACATTACATTACATTACATTACATTACATTACATTACATTACATTACATTACATTACATTACATTACAATTCATTGTATTCCATTACAGTACCTTACCTTACATCACAATACAGTACATTACATTACATTACATTACATTGCATTCCATTACATTACATTGCATTCCATTACCTTACCTTACCTTACCTTACCTTACCTTACCTTACACTACACTACACTACACTACACTACACTACATAACATTGCAGTACAGTACAGTACAGTACAGTACATTACATTACATACAGACAGACATGCACACATACATACATGCATACATACATACATACATGCATACATGCATACATACATACATGTATATATATACACACACACATACGTACACCCAAATGCTTACGACTCGGGTGGGCACGCTTTCTTCGAGGCATTTCAGTCGAGACCCCTGCTGAAATCACTAATTCCAACCACTGTGTGAACACCGTGCCCTCTGCACCCCCTCCTATACAATTGCCTCACAAGAGAGGGGCAGTGGA